TTTCTATAGGACTCGGCTCCACTATTGGTTAGCTGGCTTCTTCATACAACAACTTCCTGTAAACAAGTCATGCTGCCAAGCACTCTCCCATCCTCCACCTCTGATCTCTAGGGATCTCCATTTGACCTTCTTTTGCACCAGAACAGTTGCTTTGAGCTTTCATGAAAGGGTCAGTGCTGCATTTAAAAAAATGATTTTCAGGGGGTAGTGGCCTTCGGTTTGAATGGACAATCTGCTATAACTGACTGCTGGTCTGATTTGACATTTAATCCAGGAAATGTTCATTATAAGGAACAACAGCTTTTTCTTCTGTTGGGAGTTTTATAGTGTTAAATAGAGGATGTTAAATGAAACTGACCCACAGTCCATAACTAATGAACACATGCATCTGAGAGAGTTTGCTTTAAATAATCCCAGCAATGTTTTAGCATCATCAACCACTGGCCAGGCTGATATTTTGCTAAATTAGCTTATTGCAGAGATATCAGAATTTGTGAATATGTGGGCTGGTAAGTACCAAGAATTCATGGTACAGAAATACCAAAGATGTGATACAAGTTATTTAAAACCAGTGTCATAATATATTGCCCACCAATGAGTTCACACAAGTTTCTTTTTCACCTCAATAATGCATTATCAGTTTGAACATACACTACTAGGAATGAGATTCTTACCACTACTTTATCCACACTGCTTTTAGACTGAATAAGAACCCTCTCTTACAGTTAAATAAGAAGAAGCTTTATTTATTGTCATTGTAACACACACATATGTGCCACCATCACCACGTGCCAATTGGGGGGGGGGGGTTCCGTGTCTCGCCCAAGGACATTTTGATGTGTACTGCAGGCACCGGGATTCAAACCTTCAACCCACCACACCACTGTCGATCCACCATGGTAACCTTGAGTCAGTCATGCACACACAATAAACACTTGATTGCCTCCAAATAATTACACAAACCTCCAAGCCCCACACACACCTCAAACGGGTGTGTACTGCCATTACAAAACCATCAGTGAGGTGAGGAGCTAAGCCACATGACTAATGGCTTCAACTGTACATTTTTACATTACATTTTTTCTGGTTATGATCCAAATGCCAACCAGGACCTTGTTTAAATACTGTGAGTCTGACTGTGTTTACGGCAGCATTGCAGGTCTGTATTGTCTGATGCAACAGTATAAGTGTAAGTGGGGGAATGGATGTGCCTGGAGCACCAGTTTCTCTGGCACATCTTTGTCTACATGCTGTGTTAGTTATGCCACTCACTTCTGGTTTGTAGAGTGTTGTCTGCTGTGTTTACGCTGGGGATTCAACATGGCAGATATGGTGGTGTTGTGTATTCTGTAGTATTTTTTTTATTCGCTGCCTTATTAAAAGTTGTGAAGCGCAGTAGTTCATATCTCATGTTAATGTGTGATTGGGAACAGTAGACTTCAGGTTGAGAGTGTTAAAGTCACGCTAATATTTACTAGAAGGTTATAGCGATCTTTAATCAAATCATTTTCCTAATGATAAGTCTATTACATAGGAACCTGTGTTTACCCACTGACATCAGAGTTTTTCAGTCTGATTAAACCAATGTGGGGAGCAGCCATGTTGGGTATCATGAGCTGACCTGTTCAGACTGATGTGCTCTCAGTTTTGTCTTGGGTTCTGGCTGTGGTTTTAGAGGAATATTGGTTATCTGGGTTTTGATGTGCCATTGGATTAAAGTCCATTTTCATCACAGTACTGACTATTGTTTCTCTGCTAACTCTGTAGAATATATCGGATAAATTTCCTAATAGTGCTCAGTGTCACAAGCAACCAAGTTTTGGTTTAAAACGCCACCTTGTGATTTTTGTATTGCTTAAATCCCTGTAATGGTGCATCTTTTCAAACATCTCATATCTCGTTTTTGTCCATCAGGTGAGTGGGTGGTTTGCAGACAAACATGACTGCCAACAAGAATTCAAAGGCTGTGCCCCGCACAGGAGGGGGTAAAGCTCCCCGGGACGTCCGTGACAGGTCAGTAACATCTGGGACAAGAGTGAGCTGGTTAATGTGCACTTGCAGTCACATCACTTGGTTTCAAAGTATCCATCTGACTGGACTTCAAGAAACAAGTGCTGTACGGCAATGTGTGTGTGCACATGTGTGAGAAAATTCAACCATGCCTTTTTTCACTCATTGGAAAGCACGACCGATAATTGTCAAATGATGAGATGTCCAAAGTTTTATAAGTACGATCCTGTATCCTGGACAACTGCCCCATCCAACTCTGAACTGTGAGTAGGGATCCAAAGCTTGTTGTTAGCTTGTTGAGAGCTGACACTGTCCTGTTGGGAGAGGAACACAAACTTTGGGAAGTGATACATGATATGTTGACTATTCATTCTCACAGTCTCTGATACTGTCCATTTTTTACAAGCTCAACGTTCTCTTTAAATGAGAAGTCTCAGTAGCGGTTTGGTGGGAAATCATCTCACATGCAGTTTCTTCACATGACTGTTGGACTGCACAGCTGTGAAGTGTGTTCACACTGTCAGCAGCCACACCAGCTTGTCACAATGTGACTGCTGATTTTGAGCCAGATGATTGTTAGCAGTGATGTGTGATCTTCATATATATTAATGCCACTGGCTGCTGCTCATTCACAGCAGTAATCACACCCAGGAGAATATTTGGCCGCTGGTTTGTGTAATTTTTTTGTGCTGTAAATGAAGTCTAGTGGACGTTATAAACCAATGGAATGTTATTCATGATGTTAATCTTATCATGTAGATAAATGACATTCGTTTGCTGGAAAGTGTTCACACAGATGTACACACTGCCCAAGGCAAACCTGGAGAATACAAGAGCAAGAAAAACACTCTAGCATGATAACTGCGCATTTAAGAGGAATCTCTTTTGATAAATGTAGTTGTCATCGTAGTAGAGCCTTGTTAAGAGCGTGTGGGACTCAGATGCTTTGCAGCACCATGTTTTAACGTATGGAGAGAAATGATTTGTGTTGAACAGTGCTACACAGTGAGTTCCTCCAAACTATGAACTTAACCAGGGGCCAGTTTTTTGGACACATAACGCCGACTTTGACCTGTGTAGCATCAGGAGGCACAGACGGCAACATGCAACAACATAGTGGGAAAAACAACACAAAACCAGAAAAAAAAATCTTGCTTTTGTGATAATCTGTGACAAAATAATAGAAGATTTATTAAATAAAGGTTCTTTAGGTTTTTGCAATTTTCTGATGTATTTTGAATGAAGGTCATTTACCTCAAAGATCATAATTAACCTTAAAAAGTACTCCAGTGATGTTTTTAGACAACACAAAACATACTGAAAGGGCTGTTGGAGTTTTCCTTCTTTTTTGGGGCGTTTTACCAAATTCAGCAGTTACACACAGAGAGAGAGGTGCAGTCACGAATTAGACAACTCCGGCCTTTCATATCATCAGAATATGAAAATAAAAACTACTTGGATGATGCCATTCATGGTGCACTGGAGTTGTCCTTTAAGCACCTCAACACAACAAAACCACAAAGCAAGGCAGAAGGCATTGAGGTAGTTTTTTTGTGTAAGTAGCATAAATTAATTAAATGAAATTAAATAGTCTAATTTAATTTTCTCTGTTTAGTGCCCTGGAGCTGCGTTCTATTTAAATTTGTATTTTTTCCTGGCATTTTACTTCCTTTTGTTCTGTTGGTATTTAAAAAAAACACCAAAAATCTCCTGGATTGAATTTAGATTTTTTTTCAGGAGGGCTAAATCAATTCCGGGAGTCTTCCAGCAGTCCTTGAGGGTTGGCAACCCCAGCTGTGAGACAGCTCATACTATTGTGACTAGTGCTTTATACATCCAAAAATGCATTGGACCTATCTTATTATATATGTAAGCAAATAAAACCTCAAAAACTCTGGAAGAAAATTTGTGCTGGATCTGAGTTTTATATGCACTTAGAAATTAACAGGTGAGAGAAAATAGCTGGTAGATGATTAAGTTTATATGGGTTGAACTTCAATAGTAGAAATGTTGTTCCAGTGGACAGTTCACTCTCTTCATCCTGGTTAGTAACAGGAAGTGGCTTGTGGTTAGCATGTCCTGGAAGCCTGACTGAAAGCCAGAGGTCAGTGTCTTGTGACTGACATTCATCTCTTTGTACTGTACTGTATGTGTGGCCGGCCTTCGTGAAGCTGACTAAACAGGGCCTATTTTTTACCACCAGATCCCCCTAAAAGTCTCCAAGCCCTGAACAGACAAAAATTCTGTACATATTTTCTTTCTAATCAAGAAATCTTAATACTACTACTGCATTTTGTTTCACAGCATAAGGAGTACTCCTAATATTCTAAAATATCTTATTTGGTGGCTGATTTTACTTTTGCAGTTGATTAAATCTGCTGCAAATTCAAGTGCATTGTGGTAATGGGATAATGGTGTACGAACCGAAGCAAGCAAACAAACCAGACAAACAAAATGCAGAAACGTATAGAAAAAAAAAAATATATATGGCAAAACAGGCATATATGCATTTTACTATATTTGAATAATGTCACCAAGTCATGTATTGTAGACCTACAAGTCCAAAGGAAATCCAAATAAAATCAGCCTACACGTTTGTAGAGATTTAGTTCAAAGTCAGTTCAATCAAAATGAGCATTTCAGACTGAAAGCACAGTGTATTGTACTCATTATATACACTTTCCAATTTGTTAAGTACATCTTGCTAAAACTAACACACCCTAATACAGTGGACTGACAGTAAATCCTTCTTCATGATGATGATAATGTTCAGTTTTTGTTGAAACAGTTTCAGAGAAGTGGTGATTCAACTGTCTGGTCAGTCTGGAAAATGGGAGTTTTTGGTGCTGTTGAATTGCATTATACCTAATTTTTAATATTAATGATGCTAGGCTAAATAACAGAAACACTATATAACAGCTACATTTACCAAATAAAGAGCCAGCTGAATGAAACATAGATCAGCTCTTTGATACATTCACAAAGCACAGCATGAAGCCAGTTTGAATCTTTGCCTCCATGTTACGCCGTTATCAGGTCATTGGATTCATGGTTGAGTGTCTTCCCTATGAGAAAATAATGTAAAACTCCAGATACCATCAAACCAAAGACCAAAAAATTTAAACCATCGTGATAAACTCAGTAAACTGTATTGTTGTTACTGAGTGTTTGGTCTGGTTGCTACTAAAACATTCCCACTGATACTCAGCTTCAGATGCACTGTTTCTAGTTAGGAGTTTTGCCAGGGAACCAGTAAGTTATTAATTTGCCAGACAAATTCTAGAAACTCTCCACTAAACCGCTGTGTGCTGAGAGCTGATCAATGTTAGGAAGTGCTCAAAAAGTATTTTCTTCTTGACATAAATCATGTGGTCTGTTTGACTTGTTGTGGGGTTTTAAATACACAGTGGTGGAAAGAAACAAAGTACATTCACACAAGTACTGTACTCAAGTATAATTATGAGGCTCTTGTTCTTTACTTTCATTTTAATGCTGTTTCAGCTCATCTGTATTTCAAATGGAACTTCAGTGCTTTTTACTGCACTCCATTTACATGACCGCTGTTATTACTAGTGACAGATTAAGCTGTTACATAAAACATATGATAGCTGTATAAAAAAAATACCAAATCCCTCACAAAGTGTGTTTTCTTCTTTCTTCTCACATGAATCATCTCAGATTAGTTTTGTGAAGTCTTGGAAGGGCCTATTTCTGAGATTAGAAACCATCAAGACGGTCATGAGGGCGGCTGTGGAGCTGGAGCTAATCCCAGCCACTAATTGGTGATAGGTGGGGTTCAACCTGGACAGAGTGTCAGTTGATCAAAGGGCTGACATGTAGAGACAGACAACCACTCACACACCTACTGGCAATTTAGAGCTGCCAGTCCATCCAACCTGCATGTCTTTGGACTATATGAGGAAGCCGGAAAACCTGCGGAAAACCCAAGCAGGCATGTGAAAACCAGTCAGCTGCAAGGTTTGAACCCGGAACCTTCTTGTTGTGAAGTGACAACACTAAGCACTTTGTCACCGTGCTGCCCTGTATTAGCATTAATGATCTAATAATGTAATATACAATAATTTATCAGTCATTTGCTTTTGATACTTTAAATGCATTTTGCAGATCAATACTTGTGTATTTTTATAGCGTGATTGTGTGTGGGGCCATCGGATGAGTGATTATACAAAAATATGAGGTGAGTTTTAGGAAGTGCTTGTGTTTTCAGTGGCAGATTGTATTGAAATCAGGAGAAAAGTTCTTTGGTAGTAAATCAAACATAATTAGCAAGCAGCAAACAGCAGTGGGGCCCTGCTTTGTAAGAACTACAGTATCATATCCATGTATTCCTTGTTAACCAAGCTGGAGGAAATCCTGTCCATTGATATATTGTATCAGTTCATATATCACAGTATTCAAAGTCTTGTGTGCCAAAAAAAAATCTATTCATTGGACTTTAGAATACTGCAGGCTAGAAGTAAAAATCTTCAGACAGGAGATCTCTTGAATTCTTATATTTCAACAAGAGAAGTAAAAGAAGATGCATCCATCATGCTTGCAGTTTGCAGGTTCCTAGCTGCTGTGAAAGTCTCCCCACCCCGGAGCAGGAGGAATGAAACCAGGGAAGGGCAAATAGGTGTGAAGCGAGATATGTCCCAACCTGCAGTGTTGGATCATAGTCCTCAGCCCTGTTTCCTCCTCCCATAACGCTTGTTATTCTCACCATGGCTATGACATCAGATCTCCCAGTTCTTAACTTTCGCAAGAGTTATTCAGTGTCCATGACAAGGTTCTTGAAACTATGAGTAGTTAGGTGTTACAGAACTACAGGGAAACTTTCCTTTTCTGGAAATTTTAAAGGAGACAAGCACTGTGAGAAAGTGTGTGTTTTTTTTTTTAATGGTGGTCCAGTCAGCAGTGATTGTGGGGCTGCTGTGGCACCTAGTATCACTTAGCCGCAGGGATCAGAAAAGGCTGTGAGGAGCAGAGAGGAGCAGTGAGACCATTACAGGTAAGACTTTTAGAATAAATCTCTCTTGGAGTACTGCTTTCTGTGTGAGGTCCAGTGATTCTTCTCAAGTTATTTTGATATGATGTGGAAAAATTCACAGTGGCATTTTAATGTAGTCTGTATTTCCTTTGGCCTTTATTTTAATCTCATGCTGCCAAAGAGAATACTTTCCTGTGGTTATTTTAAATAGGACTCTCAGGTTTTCATTTTGTCTTTGATCTGGGAAATGAATTCAGCTGATTCTTTGCAGTTTTCTTCCATCTGTTCCACACCGAGTTGCTGTTGTTTTTCTTGCAAAGTGGAGTGGATTGGTTGGCAGCTCTTATGATTATACTCTTTTGGTTTATTAACATGTTAGGCTGGTTTTATCAGGTGAAAGATTTGAATGTTTACTATGTTTGTTCACACCTTTCTCTGTTTTATTTCAGGTGCCAGTCTACGTCAGCGTGTCCTGTTCTCTCTACCAGCCAGGGGCAGAGCCAGCAGCCCGTCCTCAGCGACAGTGAGAACTCTGGGAAGCAGAGTCGGTACGTTCGCACTGACGGCAGGTTCCTGGTACGTGCTGGCTGGAACAGCAAGACAGCTAGCCTGTGCAGCGGTGCATCTCTCACAGGTGACACTGACTCCCAAGGCCGTCTCACCAAGTCAAAGAGCATCAGTTGCCTGGACAACAGGCTCTCCATATATAAGCCCCCAGCTCAAACTAAGTCCTGTCAGGAAAGTCAGGGTGTCCAGGAACAGAAGGAGAAACAAGGGGATCACTCAGCAGGAGATGGACTTAATGGTAGGCCCCTGAGTTGGAGCACACTCTCACTAGGATCTTCCTCTGACCAAAGCAGCAAGCGCACCCTCTCTCTCACCCGGTCAGTAGCAGGTGTTCCCCCTAGCACAATCCGCAAAAAAATCTCAGAATGGGAGTGCAGAAGGGTGGCTCTGCCTAGGATGAGCCTGTGTCTGGATAAAAGGGGAGGGGAGCGTGTCGGGGGCAGTGAGGGCTGCCCGAGCCTGCTGTCTTCTCCCTGTAGTGAGGAGACTTTTGACTTTAAAGGGGTTCGCAGGATGAGCACAGCATTCTCTGAGTGCTCCTACACAGAGACAGAGGAAGGAGTTTCAGACAAAGACGGCCTTGGTCGCTTCCAGAAAAGGACAGGCAAGACAGAGTCCTCAGGAACGTTTGGACGTTCTCTGTCTGCTCGGAAGGAAACATCAGCAGTTCTCAACAGGATACAGAAGATAGAACAAGCCTTGAAGGAGAATCCCAGCCCACCCCCTCCGCGTTATCTGAGCAATTGCTACGGTCCAGACAAGACAAGACAAAAGTCTTTTGTGATAGGTGACGATTTGGACAGCACATGCGCCAGTAAGCGCAGCAGCATTTGCTCAGTGGCCACTGAACCAGATTCTGTTTTGGTACCTGATAAGCTCTCTAAACTTAGACAAAGGTTTAGTGTGAGCTCAGCCAGGTCTGAGAGCCCAGAGCCACCCGGCCAACACACCTCTGTTGGCACATCGGTCAACCCCTTACCAAAACCCAAACGCACTTTTGAGTATGATGCCAAACAGGACCAGAAGGGTATGTTGCCATCCAATGGACTACCTCCAAACAGAACCTCTGAGTCTGCCCCACCTCTGCCTTCCACCCCTGCACCCAGCATGCCACGAACTGCAAAGACAGAGGGGAGCACCCCCATGAGAATTCAGGACAGGTGAGAATATGGGTGTGCTTATTTTTCTCCTTTAAATTAGATGTAAATGCACAACAGAATATAATTTGTATTGGCATTGAGACTGGCTGATCAGGCATCTATTTTAAATACAGTTTATCTGTGAATGTCAAAAGATTCAAGCTTCAGCGCCAGTTCGGTTTTTAGTGCCACAGCAATTTCTGATCTTGCTGTATTGGTGCTCAGTGTCAGCAAATACTGTCAGCCGAGCCATGAGAAGCTCTATCAGCTCTATCAGGAAACATTTGTATAGGTACAGCCCTGTTTGGTGCTGTGAAAGGGTTTAGATGCTTTTGAAACATTCTTTTTTTGGAGTTTGAAAAGTTGTTTGGAATCTGGACCACAGACGTTGTTTGCTGGTGTGCAGCAGTTTAATAAGTTATCGGTCAGTGCATCCGGTTGTGGTGTTGGTGTTAGTCTTATTCTGCTCTCACAGGGACAGTGGTGCCCTAAAGATCAGAAGCAAGCACGTGACTGGAAGGTCAACTGGTGGGATTAAATCTGGGCAGGACAGGTTTTTAAAAAAATGCAGCCCTTAACCCTGGCTGCTACAGTGGCCAGCAGGTCACACTGTGGTTGTAGTGGGCAGCTTCCAGGTGCGAAAGTGCAACTGTGTGTTTCAGTGAAAGAGGGGCTGCCTCTCAGTGAAGCTACCTTGAATAAGTAGAGATAAAAAACAAACATCCATCCATCCATTTTCCTCCGCTTATCCGGGACCGGGTCGCGGGGGCAACAAACAAACAAAAAACAAAAATCTCCACATTTTTTAGTTAGGATTTGAAGTGGGGATCAGTGTTTTGAATCAGCTGTGATGCTTTCCAACAGACCATTCAAGAAGAATATTTCTCTTAAGGTAAAGAGCATGACATCCTTGTTGTCACAGATTTCCTAATTTAATCAAACTGAATAATGTTATCATAGTTTAATATGAGTAAAATGCCTACTGGATATCATAAAAGCCAGTCATAGTGAGCAGATTTATTGTTATAGACCATTTCAAATGTTTGATCCATTCTGGAAATTCATTTTGGTCCAGAAAAACGATTTGGCAGTTTAAACATGCCGAGCAAATTGGATATATTTTTTAGGCAAAAACAAGTTCACTCATACTTTGCCTGTAACTGAATCTCTATAAACCAGCAGCAGAGACTGTCCTGTAGGAACCAGTCCAACTGGATTAATATGGCCCTTTGTTGCAAACATATTAGCTGAATCTTGGTTACTGTAGTCTCCTCTAAAATGGATCAGATGTCCTCAGATGTTTTTTGTGTGAGGGTGGGACCACTCCAGATTGTCCCTCTGTAAAACGGGGATGAAATCCTTAAACATCCCTTCCTTTGGACTCTGTGTTTAACATTCCTGTGGCTCTAGCAATTTCAGACCAAGCTTAAAGGCTGCAAACTGTTGATGGCACAACATGACCATACTGTAGATCCCTGCACTGCTGTAGCCTCTGCAGTGCCTTGACATGTGACGTGTGCTTTACTTTCTATAAAGAACAGAGAAGTACAATGTTTGCTTGTGACTTATCAGGACTTCCTTGTGACTGGAGAACATGGTATTTCTCTGTTTTCTGTATTTCATAATCAGTACTTATGATTTATGGTTTTTGAAGGATAAGACAATGTTTTGACTTTATAAATTTATAAAGTATCTTAAACACCTGTTTAGCCTTTCTCTGTTTCCAGATGGCGAGCAGAGAATGTTTGAAGTAAAACTGTCTGGACAGATTTTAAAAACATCTGGACCTTTTCTATTTACTCTTATCTGTCTACCTTTACAAAGCTAGACACTGATTCTAACCAACTCTTGGCCTTTGTCATTTTCTGTATGCAACTATTCAGCATAATTTTCCATCTTGTCTTGTTTTGACGTTTTCCTTTGCTTTCAGAGAGTCATGTGAGTCAGAAGATGCTGCAAGTCGGCCATCTTCCTGTCTGTCTTCACCTACGGAGAATGGCACAGTGACCACAGACACACGGAGTCGACCCAAAAGCACTTTAGAGGAGAATGCCTATGAGGACATAGTAGGTAAGCACACTGACTCACTAGAGACAGGGCCTTCATTTCGCTCACTGGTCTCTGTCTGACAAAGATCACTCTTGGTTACAGTTTAGAATTGAATTGATGAGTCTATTAACCAATTAACAGAATATTAATCAACAGAACATATTGGTATTTTTGTTTTCTAGTTCTCTTCTAAGATAGTCAACACAATAACTTCATGTTTTGGTCAGCTGGTCAGAGAAAACAAGGTATTTGAAAATGTCAGCTTGGGCTTTGGAAAATTGTGGCTGGACAGTTTTCGGTCTTTTCTAGATATTTTATTGATCAAACAATTAATCAGTTAATCAAATAAAATAAGGAAATTAATTGGTAATGAAAATAATAGTTACTCATGTCACTGACACACTTCAAATCAGTCATGTTCAATTCAAATGGATTTTGTATCTATCTGTCTGTCTATCTGTAGTTTTATTATAAGTTAATATTATTGACAGTTGCTGATATTCTCCCATATCAGATATCTCAACCTCCATGAATAGTAAATACAGACATTATATGGTTATTGTGAAGGTAACTGTGGCCTTAGAAAACAGTAGACAGATTATGAGAGTAGTTCCTCCTCCTGCATCTGCCTTATAAAGACATTTGAGATTTGGAAAAATCTAAGTGAAGACTGAGCCTGAGGTAAAAACAAAAGCTCTCACAGTCAATCTCTCTAGTTCACAAAGGTACTGTAATCAATAATAGCCACAAGTGACCAGACTTCTGGTAAAGATCTTTTTTGATTGTCTGCCCTGTTTGCAACAAGCTGTATCTCACTGCAAACTGGATCAGCTCAGTACTTTTCCGAATTCATGTGTGTATGAAACGCTGGACTCATCACAGAGCCAAATTCCTTTCCGCTAGCGAATGACCCCAGGCCTTCTGCCCGATTCAGCTGCCAGCTCCCACAGTGCATTCTTAATGTGGTGGAAAAGTGTGTCAGTGTGAGTCTCCTGATGAATCTTTCTTTCAGATGCAGTAAAAAGTTTTCATACTCAGTGATGCTGAGTGATGACCAAATAAGGGCAGATTTTTATACGGAAGCATTAAATTACATCATGGTATTTCTACAAGTAGCCATGTTGTTCTTGGATCAGTGACTGGTGTTGTGAGCGCTTATCAGCATTTTTTTAAGCTGAGGATGTGCAACTGTCTCAGAGTGTCAGGGCATGACTGATTTTCATGTGACAAAGCCTAAATTGTTTGCTGTTTGCTGAGGCACTTTTGGGCACTTTTGCAAGTCTCTGTTTGTTTCCGACAACGACATTGTATCAGTGTGAGTTTGCTCAAGCTATTTCAAACAAAAGCTTTAAAACTAAGGTCCTAAATGAGGTGAGCATTTGTTTCCACCATCTCCATCAGCGGTTTACAGGTCAGCTGACCCATTTGAGAAGCAGCCACAGCAGAGGGAAATGAGCCATGTTTTATTCCCTCTGAGCATTGCATGCAGAAAACCAGAAGTCTCCACATGTTTTCTGAACTCCGCGAGGACATCTTGGCTCACTTAACCGTCTTGGTAGGACATTCACTTGCACCATTTTCATTTTTGGCACCTGTACTTCATGTCAGATGTTTATTTCAAGAGAACAAGACATTAGTGATCTGAGCTGCAGTGTTACCACAGTGACATGAAAAACTGGTATAATAGGGGGCCATTGTAAGTGTTTTTAAATACGCCGGTCTGTATCCTGGATTTCTAGGGTGTTTTACATTCACTGACAGTTTGCCCATGTGTTGTCTGCTCTTTCTCTTGTGTGTGTCACACATACAGTAGACGGCGACATACACAGATGGACCTATGATTTTGTTATTCTTTGGTGCCAAATATGCCAAGAAATCAACATAAAGTATCCACTGTGGTTACAAGTAGACTCTCTTTAAGACTGACACACTGTATAGTTTGTGGTGCTGCCCTGACTCAGTGGGGGATCAGTGCCACTGCTTGTTCACTTCACAGGTTAAGCTGATTCTGTTGGCGTAATTTGTTCTGTGCCTTGCCTTGCCCTGCCTGTAAACACAAATGCACAATCACACTGTGTAGACAAAGGTGTGTCTGCTTCTTCCATAATGCTGTGTGTCTGGGGTTGTGTTAGAGAGCGATCTGGGTGCTTGTAATCAGAGGAGTAGATTAGTACCCTCCAGTAGAAAAGCAGCTATATAGACATATCATTTTCTCAGCAGTCTTTCATTATATTGTTGCTTCAGTTTAATGGAGTAGCGGCACAACATGGGGTCAGACTAAGCCCTCTTTTTTTTTGCTCCTCAGCTTTAATGATGCGCAGAAAATTGCTACAGTAAGCTAGTTTACTGTGTCACACAACATGATGCTCTATGATCCCTGGCAGTGTATGTCATCTGCAAATGTGTGCATGGTTCAGGTTCAATAATTAGCCTAAAAATAGATAACAGAGCAAGGCTCTGGCTTGGTCTTCAGTCTTTGTAAAACACACTCATTGTTTAAGAACCAGAGTTCATCGGGTTTCCAGTAATAATACTCAGGAAGAAGAAACACAGCTACCATATAGGTTTTTGTTCCGTCCCTTTCTAATGACAGATAACACCGATTTTCTTTCTTTTAAAAGTTCCCCTCATGCATTTCGACGCCATCTGGCTCTGTTTTTATTCTTCACTGTGGTTTCTTCACTTTCTCACAACCTTTTTCAGACCCTGCCAAAAAGCTATTCTCAGAGCACATGTCTGAATAGACATGAACTGTGGTGTTACACAAGTTTTCTCTTTATTGAGCTTGGCCCTCTGCCAGGTGACGTCAGTGCAGCGTTCTGTAATGTTCCTTTGCTTTCCTTCTCTGCCATCATTTATTGACTGAAGTAGACCAGTAACTATGCATGCGCTTACTGAGGGAATGTGTTGCATATTTTAATGTTTAAGTCAGAATATAATCTATGATTTTTACATTTAATTCCTTGTGCCTTATTTGTTATTCCACAATGTTTTCAATTTTCATATTTGGAATATTTTCTCAATACATGCAAAGAAAACATACTGTATGTATGGCAAAGGTTATTATAATCTTGTACATTAAAATAAAACTCTTTAGAATATTGAACTGTTTCATTATCAGAATCACAGTCTAAGAAGATGACATCCTCAGCAGACAGTTTGCATGCCCGGACAGTGACTCATCAGCAGTGTTTCAGCTGGGGCCGCTGGGGGCTGTGGGGCCCAGTGCCAACAGTAACTGTTTTGAAAAAAGGGAGTTCACTTCGGCCAGCTGGGAGGGATCTTTGACCTACCTTTCATAACTTATCCCTGTTTAGACTGACCACAGGGAGGCCACTGCCACCATTTACTGCCCTCTGTTTGCCCTTCTTGACCTTGTTTGTCTTCTGTTGAAATCAGCATTTGTCCATGCTGTCATTATATTTGAGCTACAATAAAATACTTTGTCTTTACAGAGAAGGAAAACCCATATGAGGATGTTGACCTGAAGCGGAAGAGTTTGGGTCGGAAGTCTTGTCTGCTGGAGAGCAGCAGATCTTGGACGGCCAGGAAAGTGAACTCAGCACCACAGGTAAGCCCGTTGGGATCAACAGCTCGAGGTAAACATTAAAGATATGTTTTCCTTTGGTAAAGTGAACACCCTCATTAGGTGTCAGTGCTGAATCCTGGACAAGGTTTTTTGAAGACTCTCACACCTCATTTGTAGCACTACAGGACACAGATTGCTATGTTTAGATCTAGTGACATTCCACAGACGGGTCCATCTGCGGAGTTGGCTTCCCCTCTTCAATACTGAAGCACTTGTCTCACTATAGACAGGGGGAACTCACACATGGTGATCTAGAAGCATTGTTAAGCATCCAACTCACCTCTTTGAACTGTTACCTTCTGGCAGACGGTATAGACCTGCCAAAACATGCACATTCAGGTGCCGAGACAGTTTCAAATATGCACTGAAGGGACTTCTCTGTTGCTGTTCAGACATTTGTACCGTGTGCAAATCATTTTTATTACAGAGCTCCAGAGACCTTTGTCTGTTTGTATGTATTTTAAATAACCTTATTTATTTTCTTTTTTATTTATTGTTGATGCACCGATTGGACCAGCACTCCTAATTTTGTTGTTGGCTAAACTTGCAGGGACAGTAAAGTCTTTCTGATTCTGATTCTGATGATTACTGGGTTTAAATACAAATGTGGTTTAATACTCCAGCAAAATACTCTGAGCAGTTACTCTGTCAGCAGTACAACCGAAGACCAACTGTTCACAGAGCAGCAAAAGAAAAACTTGTGTTGTTTTAATCAAAAAGTCAGTCAGTAATTGGCTTTTTCTTTCATGCCACGAGCAACTGCAATCTGATTTGAATAGTTTTCCACACAACAGCAGGACACAGTAAATTCTATTGCTTTGCTGAGGAGTTGGAGGTGTGCAGTCAGCTCTTCTTACAGGATAAACAGTATACAAAGATAATGGATAGATGAATGGACTTGATGGAAAATATCTTCAATGAATGCATTTTTAATGAACTAATAATGAACTTCACCAAGCCTTCCATGTTCTGTTCTCTCTGATTAGTTGCCTTCCAAACCCAGTAGCCAGTCCCTTCGCCTGCCTGGCCCGAGCGACAGGAAGAGCCACCGGATGTCACAGTTGTCCAAACGCTACAGTCAAGATGAAATGCTGCTTCTCCCCCAGCTGGGTGTATCATCTTCATCTTGTGGCCTGCTGGATGATAGCCTCTGTAACACCAGTGACAGCCTGGCCTCACACAGGCACTGGAGGATCCCCAAGGTACACGCTAGTAGATTCTACACAAAGTTCTTGCAGAGCTCTGACTGTGAGCTTTGTCCTTTCCTGCTTCACGGACCATCTCAGGTTTCTTTAGGGGCCAAGTCAGAGCATCTCTAGATCATTTGTAATTCCTCATTTTTTAAAAAGATGTTTTAAAACACTTTGTCTTGAAATGTGTTGTAACTGCATGGGTTTCTCAAGATCTCTTATTTTTCAGCAACCCTTATTAAACATATTAAAACTGTTACTTTTGATCAAGTGTACCCCTACTTCCTCTATACTTGGATCAAAAGAAACACGACTTCATATTCCCCCAACAGAGAACTTCCTCTTTATTCTGTTTACAGCTGGTCCAGAGGATCAACTCCATTTACTGCACTAAACGTGGGAAGAAGCGGCTGAAGAAGCTATCCATGTCCAATGTTGAGACCACATCTCTGAGAGGTAAGGGTTCTCTGTTTTCTCTTTATCTTCAGGCCAGATAAATGAGTCAATATTTGCGCCTCAGCCACCCACATGGAGTTCTCACTGTGTCCCTCTCATGACATGTTTGTGAAATTGCCCTTTGACCCACAGAAAACCTTCTTGTTTGTCTTGTGTCTTCCTCCAGATGACAACAGTGAGAGTGAAAGTGACTCTGATGACAGGTTCAAAGGTGAGTGTCCACAGCAGTCGTCCGCAGGGCTAAGATACTACATTTTTGTCTTAGGCTGGTTTTCCTCAGTGCTTGTGCAACAGTATTTTGGATTCAACACGTGACCTGGCTTGACCAGACAGACCCAAAGAATTGTAACTGAAACATTTGCCATATGCACAGATTATTACTACACCTCACAGCATTTCTTACATGTCTAGAGATTCAATGACAGGGATGAATACTAATGAGATTTAGTGTTGCTTTGTCTTTTTTTTGGACTCAAGCTGTCAGTGGTGTCAGTAAAAGTGGATCGTGTCAAATCTGTACAGCAGCAGTTCATTTCCTTACTTAGGTTAGATTTACATAGTGAATTTTGTTTTGACAGTTAATTTTATATGTTAAAGTTGGCTTCTGTCCTCAGCTCACACACAGAGATTGTTGAAACTGCAATCCATCCTTCAACGGGCCCCTAGCTACCGCACATTGGAGCTGCAGCTTCTTGAGTGGCAGGAGAGAGAACTGTTTGAGTATTTTGTTGTTGTCTCTCTAAAAAAGAAACCCAACAAAAACTCCTACTCCCCAGAGGTCACCTACCAGTTCCCCAAGGTAAAAGGAATTACAAATCTGAAATTCTTCACAGATACGTCACTGCTGACTGTTTTCCAAAGCATATTATGGGTCTGAGCCACATTGTTATCATTGCCTCTACCAGCAGGGACTGATTTAAAAAAAAAACTTGCTTCTGTGTGTTAGTGGTGTAAAAACACATTTATCTCTGCCACGGTCTGGGAAAAGGTCAGCTCTAAAGCTAAATATAACTGATTTGTAGGTAAATGGAATAAAGTAATAATAATAATAAAAGAAATCAACCTGTGCATGGATAACAACAGACCGTGCATACCACATCTAATAGGTGTCAGCAGCACAGACAGCTGATTGCAGTTAATGTTGTCTGGACAGCTGGAGATGATGAAGATTAATTGTTGATTTTCAGTTTCCATCATCTTCAGACAGTCTGGAAGACATATTTTGTGGGCCTTTCATACTTGCTTGTGGGCATTTAATATTTAGAATATAGAGCCTGGGGAGTCTTGGGAATGTGTTTATAGTTAAAAATAACCAAGATTCATTTGTGTGGCAGGGAAGTGTTTTTAGTTATTCAAAGATTTGGTTCAGCACAAGTGTCCCTTGGGAGCATACATCTCTGCCAGCCAGGGGAAACACCCACTTTTTTATTGAGTTCATGAGGACTAGAAGGGGCAGAGGTTTAACCTTGCATGGGAGAAAAGTTAGTCTGTTCATTTATTGGTCATGCTGATATCCTCAGAGATCTTAAAAAAGGAGCACAGACTTCTTATCTGGGGGAGAATGAACTGAGTGAAACTCCTCTCCTCTCCTCTCACAGCTAGAGAGGCCCACCAAGCAGATGAGGGAGGCAGAACAGAGGCTCAAAGCCATTCCTCAGTTCTGTTTTCCAGATGCAAAAGACTGGAGTCCTGTTTCTGAGTACACCAGGTATGGCCAACGATTTTCCATAAACAGGGGATACACCTATTAAAGGGTTACTTCAGCAATGTAGCTGGACCAAAGCTACATAACTTGTGAGAGGCTGATTAAAGATGGTCAAATCAAAACAGCAGAGGCCAAAGCATCTTCACGTTTGGCCCCTAGAATGAATGAAAAAGGCCTGGAATTATTCTGCACTTTTCATAAAGCAACTCAGTGGTATCTTTCATTAAATCCTCCCTGCCACGTCTTTCCAGCTCTTTGTGTTAATTCCCATGTATCTGTTTTTTTGCAACAGTGAGACTTTCTCCTTCATGTTGACTGGAGAGGATGGCAGCAGGAGGTTCGGGTACTGCAGGCGCCTGCTGGTAAGCCACCGTTCAACTCTCCATGCTCTTCTCCCTGTTCACTCCCTGCTGAGCCTTCTGTGTTGTGACAGAGCTTTTTATGTGAACATGTGATGCAGTTTTCCTGTGTGGACATTTATGTGTTGCATGACCATCTGCTGTGGCAGCAGGAAAGATATCACATAAATAAAAAATAAGAAACAAAACACTTTGCTTGATAGTGCAGAGACTTCTCATCGTTGTGTTGTTCAGGTTTGCCCAGGAAATCCCTATAGCTAGCTGCAGTCAGAGAACTATCTCAAATAACGAACCACATTGCTAACAGGGATTTTAGGTGCTACAAAAATGCATTCAAATGGTGAAATATCATATTTGAAAGTGATAGAATCAAATTAAATCTCAGAAAGTAATAGATATACTCGGTCCAAACTAAGTTAATGCTATACACATTCAGTAAAATGCATAAAAACATATAGACTGAAGGTTAAACTCAGTTAGGGTTGAATCATTAAACTGAACAAGAGTTTCTCGGTAGTTGCAAAGACAAAGAGAAACCAAGACAAATCCAACCTTTGCCACTGTGGAGCGTTTCCTCTTCATAATGAGGCCGGAGAGTGCTCTGAAGTTTTTTGCTCAGCTTAACTTGTGGGTACATGACTATGTGGTGAATGTGGTGATGATTTTGTTTGCCACTTGGTAATTCTGAGTGTGTTTAAAGTATTACTGTGTGTCTTTACTACCATATATGTGTACGTGTTGGGTATTGGGAATCTTCCACCAGACAAAACTGTTTTTAACTTTTCTGCTTTGTTGGTCTGAGATTCATTTTCATCATCAGATGCAGATTTTAATGAAGAATAGAGAAAGAACTGAGCTGCTCTCCTCTGGTAACTCTGTTTCCTTCCTGCTGTATGTCCAGCAGTTGGCAGTAGCTGAGCATTCCTGAGGACTTGAATCAAGCTTCACATAGTTGATCTAATCATCCATTTGGAGAAGCAGAGGAGAAACAAGAGGAGAAAATCGTATGCCTAATAAGGACACATGGATTGGTGTTTCTTGCGCACTTGTGATCATTTGTGTCTGTTGTCTCTTTGCGGCGGGGTGTCTTGAAGCACATAATGCTCTAGGAGTGTACAGAGAAGGTAGATATGATCAGCAGGAGCAGATTAAACCACCTATGTTTAAGAAGTTGGTGTCCTCCATCTCAAATGACAGACTGTATTTAAAGACTGCAGATACAGTATCTAAACATCCTACAATCTACATATTGTATTATCGCAGTCTGACCCTTTATGTATTTGTTTTTAAATAAATTCATTTCCACACATTCGACCCTTTCTGACTATTTAGTTCTGGTTCTGTGAGCAGATTCTGTAACTTCAGTGAATGTTTCCATCTCCCAGCTTTATGGAAGTGCATTGTTATTTATATTGCTGAGCTGCCTCTTTAAGTGTGTTTATAGTAAGTTATCAGAGCATCTGTGAAATGTATCGCTTCACCAAGTCCATTAACACAGGTGTCCCATGAGTCTCTGTTGCTTTCTCTTGCAGCCGACTGGCAAAGGACCTCGCCTTCCAGAGGTATACTGTGTCATCAGCAGGCTGGGCTGTTTTGACTTGTTCTCCACAGTGAGTTCATTCTTGCCCTCACACATGCATACATATGCACACACACACAGAGGCAGTTAGGTGTGTGTGGTGTTGTAGATGTGGTTAAGTTCTCTCTCAAATGAGCAAATCTGCTGAGGCACCTTATTTCAGACATTTTTAAAATTTTCTGATTTCTTTGTGTAATTGTTTCCTTAACTTTTGCCTTAGTGTTGTAAACACCCAACAGAGCAGCCAGTCTGCTTTACTTTTCCAGCCTTTTTGGATCACTTTATTACTTCAAAGTGAGTGAATCCAAATTAATGAAATAGAATGGCTTATATATGATATAAAATAACATGGGACATGTCAGTGACCATATGTGTATGTGATGTATTCATTGTTTAATAATGGGGGCCTTGAAACAGCACTCGGGTTTCAAAAAGCTGAAATGAAAAATCTGGAATGTGTAGAAGTAGTGTAGTAGTTCAGTTGGAGCAGAATAACTGTATCAGGTAGAGGATGTAATCATCACCGTGGCTATAGGTGCCTTTACATTCAGCCTTACAATTGTGAACAAAGTGTTTAATAGCACTAGAGTTTGTGACAATTGAGGGCCTTCAGCAAAAAGGAGAGTGCCTGAGATGGCTCCATTTTCTGAACCTGAGACGAAGCTAACAGGAATCTATTTTACAAGTGCTTCTATGGTAAATGGAATAAGATGGCGGTATTTGATTTCAGAGGGAGTTGTGTGTGTGCAAGAGAGACAGGCAGACAAACAGAGAGATGGAGAGAACCAGAGAGGAGCTATCATATGACCCTGAAAACGAGCATTTCTCCAATCAAACTTCCAGACAGGAGGCAGCCTGAACCCAGGCACACTAGGTGGAATTTTCCAATCACATAGACATGGAAAGGGATGCATTTGCTGTTTTTCAAAAGAGAAAATGAATAATGAGTTCCAGACTATTGCTCGTACTCAAACACAAAACAATATGACTCCATTAATTGCCAACATGGTCAATAACTTTGATGACTGTACACCTTTTCTCTTAAAATACAATATAATCTCTGATATTAACAGATTTCCACTGAGACTTGTGCTTTGTTGATGCAAAAACAGGTTGAACTATCCTGAGGAAACTGTGCTGTTTCTTCCCATGTTCAGATCCTGGATGAGGTAGAGCGTCGACGAGGCATCTCAGCAGCCCTGGTCTATCCCTTCATGAGAAGCCTGATGGAGTCTCCCTTCCCTGCACCAGGGAAGATTATTAAAGTAAAGACCTTTCTGCCAGGTGCAGGAAATGAGGTCAGTTCTGCTGAGCTAGCAAAACACAATTGCTTTCTACTTCACTATTTTATTTATGTCCATTAGCCCAAAAACATATAGGTACAGTTGTGTGAAAGAAAATCTTCTTAGTTAATCAGATCCACAAACTGCGATGACCTAAATTCTCAGGTCATTGAGCTGAGGCGGCCCACCGACTCCAGACTGGAGCATGTGGACTTTGAGAGTCTGTTCAGATGCCTCAGCGTACGGCAGGTGATCCGGGTCTTTGCCTCAATGCTGCTGGAGCGCAGAGTCATCTTTGTGGCCGATAAACTCAGGTGAGGCTCCACAATTAGTCTTTCCATCTGCAGTCAGACCACAAACCCTAAAACATCATTTAAATAAAAGAACGCCATGCAGTGGGTTCCCTGCCCTATCCTCCGGTTTGAGTTCTATCACAATGGGTTACAGACACATTTAGGTCTGTTAGTTGGACTCCACTTTATGATGCTGTTTTACCTGTCCTCTTGGCACTGTTTTTCCAATGCTTCCTGGTCATCCAAAGCTAAAAAAATCTCATCTAAGAACTTTTCGCAGGCTGCCAGCTCAGCAGTCAACTTGCGTTCTTTAGTCTAATCCTGGCTGATTATGGCTCAATTACATTAATCCTCTACACAGACAGACCTGTAATCGCAGCATTATGCCATGGTTTTGTCAGCTGGGGTTTAACAGATGCACCACATGGAAATGTTTTAACCAGTATCAGTAAGTCAGGCAGCAGGTCAGTTAGGTACATAGTTCCTATGTTAGTTTTGATACCAGAAGTAAAGTCCCCGTTCACAAAAGAGAAGGGTACTGTTAGTGTATTGGAGACAAGGGTGGAGTGGGGGGAGATTCGAGTAGAGATGTAATCTCTCCATGTATCAGTTTAAACAAACATCAGTGAGGGCAGTGACTGTGAGGGGAAGGAATGCACTTCCTGTGTGTATGCCTCTGCCCTCTGTGGCTCGACTGTCACCATTTGACTTATGATGCTCCGTTCACTCCATATGTATAAGCGACAGCACTCTGTATCCCTGGAGAAAATTGGTCTAAGTTGGTTACCAGCAGTGATATGATCTTGGAGTTACTGAGCGGGAATCATATTGCCCCATAGGAAGCAATTCTGTGATGACATCTTGCACAGCAGTGATTTATGATGCATCCAAATTTTTGTGTACCTGAATAGATAAACAAACATCTAAAGGGGTAAAATAATTTTTTTACAAACAAGGTTCAGTCACCTAGTACATGGCTCACTGCATTATAAAATGTTTCAGGTTTTCAGTCACAAACTTGGGTAATAAAACACATTCATTCCCGGTTCCTTGAGAATGAGTCCTACTGACTTTGTTGGTCCCCTGATTTTTCCTCTAGCACCACCAGGAGACTGACATTAGTGTTTTTGAGTGAAGTGTCTTTAACTACTGGCAAAACGGTAATGAAATTTGACTCAGGAGGTAAAGCAGGTTGTTTCCTAACCAGAAGATTAGCGGTTTGATTCCCAGCTTGTCCAGTCCACATGTCGAAGTGTCCTTGAGCAAGACACTGAACTCCCTGTTGCTCCTGGTGATGACATCAGTGTGTGAAATTGGGAGTGCAAATAGGTGAATGCCCAAATAATATGAAAGCGCTTTTAGTGTGCTGCAATGCATAGAAAAGCACTATACAAGTATAAGACCAATTTTGTTCCCTTCAAAATTATATTTAATAACTTCATTTTCATGTAGCACCATTATCAGATCAAATTTCATCCGATAATTTATGTCCAATACTTGTATAGTTTATGGCCAAATACCTGTGATATAATGTTGTAACTCAAATATGTAGTTAGTATCCTTGACTGATGCCTTTTACTGTATGGTCTGCTCAAACCATGCATGTGTTTACTATAGATTTAAATGCACAGGTACACAAACATATAAGGCTCCTGTGTTTTTGTTCTGTGACAGTGACAGGGCGTCACTGTAACGTTAATGACTTCTTTTATTAAAGAGCTGCTCCCTCTGGGACTGTGACATGTAATCCATTCCTAAAATACCTCGGCAGTAGAACATGATGTATGTCTCCTTTTTCTTAAAATATATATCCTATACAAGTAGGAAACAAGAGGAAACACCATGTTAGGCAGTATTTCTCTGCAGAGTCATCTATAGCTTGTTTCTTTGGTGTGCTGTGTTCACTAAACTCCTGTAAAAATTACAGAGAAACATTTGTTTTTTTCTATAGAGGTTGTTGCTCCTACTTGAAGTCTGCACAAGCAATCTGATAACAGGTTAGATGCCTAATCAGATAAATTCATCATCAACTATGTCACTCTGTAACCGCTTAACTCAGTTGACCTGCAGATGCTGAATCACTTATGTAAACGGTCTTTGTCAGTCCTCTGGCTAGAGCTGAGGACAGTCACCGGATTGTTTATGCATGTCTGGATTTATCTGTTAGCATGGCAGTGAAATACTCCTACAGTAAAAATGTTACTGCATAATGGATCTAAATGACTTTTCCTGCTGTGACTCCATTGTCTCATACTTATTTAGTCACGCTCCCCTTTGAAAAACAAACCATAAAAATTGTAAATCTAACTTCTGCTATGTTGACAGTGAACTTGAGAAGAAAATAGCGTTTAAATTTTCTAATAGTGTCAGTGACCATCACCTGTTTTTTTTTTAACCTTTTCTTCCCTGTCAAAGTTCCAGCCAGTCTTTCCTGCATTACTTGAATTTGATTTACTGCACTCAGACAACATTTGATTGCAGAGATGCCTTAGTGTTTGAATTCAGTGTTTGAAATTGAGTCAGAGGCACATAGAGCACAAAGACCTTTTGCAGTTTGCAGACCAATGATGAGTATAATTAACCAAGTAGAATTATTACCACTGTTGTTGTCATTTCTTTAATCAAACATTAGGGAAGCATGCTTACTTTATTCAGTCCTGATTTGTAAACTCTTTCTGTAAGCTGTTCTGCAGAGGTGGCACAAAGCCAAAACCGCTTTTAATAACTTAACCGGTTTCCCATGTGGTATTTGACTCTGAGGAAGAATGAAACCGGCACACTGTAAACATGTGAAATGTTTCTCTTTTCAAAGTCTAGAAAATCTTGCCCATTATCAAAGCTGTCAGCTGATTTTTACATCAGTGTGTCTCTCGTGATTGTTTACACCCACACGTAGACGCTCGCAGATGCACAAACACCTGCACACATTCATCAGCTCTCTAGACAGCCTTGATTAATCTCAGACGTTATTGTGGTTTTAATAGGAGCATGCATAGAGTTTTCCATCAGGAAGCCATTTCTCATTCTGAAATGGCTTCTGCTGGTGCCTTCTGTAGAGCTGGAGAGCAGAGACTGGTGGCAGGAGATCCGTTAAGAGAGGAAGTGAGGGAAAGCCATTCAGGGAATAAGGGAGCTGAAATTGTCCTGCCTGTAGATAACAATAGAAATCATATACGGTGGCTTCAGAAAGTATTCAGACCCCTTCACTTTTTGCATACTTCACTGTGTTGTTGATTTAATTTTAATTAGGTAACATTGTCTTTTTTGCCCATCAGTCTACACTAATTAACCTATAATAACCAAGTAAAATGTGATTTTAGAAATTACAGCAAGTGCATTACAAATCAAAAACCTAAATTTCTTATTTACAAAACTGTTCAGACCATTTGCTGTGGCATTTCAAACTGTGGTCTGGTGCATCCTCTTTGCTTTAATTATCCTTCAGATGTGTCTGGAGCCAGAGTCCTCCTGTGACAGATTTGTATGGAGTTCAGAAAGATACACACCTTTTTATATCCTTTGTAGACTGTAGGTCTGTATGTACTCTGCTGCCTCATTATATTCTTTGTGTTTTTTGAGTCTGGGAAGAGCTTTAACTGAAAAGAATGGCTTTGTGGCTCTCTGCAGCACAGCTGGTGCTTTAGTCTAGCCCTCTTTATCCTCCGTCTATGGAATCATTCTTAGCCATACCAGAACTGGTAGACACAATGCAGTGGTTTAGTGGAACTGTGAAGCATGAGGTGATACAGGCTCTTGTCTCCCTCCCCTCTGTTTTTCTCAGACACTGAAATCTCCCCTCCTCCTTTTGGGCTTCACAGAGTAGGTTTTTCGATCCCATGTTTCCTGGAGCATCTGCCAGGTCAGCCTCACACACACTAAACTAGGCCTGGCAGACCTTCAAGAGCTAATATGTCAGGATTAGCTCCCAAACCTCAACATGTAACAGCTCTGCACAGACCTCACCTCTGCAGAACTACTTCTTCTCTCTTTTCCCGAGAGTGGAACCATAAATTTGTGAAGTTTCGGTCCCACAGACTTTTTACGAATTTAGTATGACTAAATTTTATTTTCTGGCCAATCCACACATAGCTTGTTGCTTTGGGTTCCACTTTGCAGCCTGAAGGTTTAGTTGAAATGTAACACGAGAAAGACAGTGGATTCATTTTGTTCTTCGCCTGTATGTATATTTGGGCAACCAAATAACGAGAATCTACAGTCATGCTAGTGACTCTGTAAGGTTGTACTTGACACAAATTTGTGACACTGAGCTACAGTGTATAAATAAAATTTGACTTGACTTGACTGCTCAGACATAGCAGTGCTTTGAGCTACTTTCCAATATCAGCATGCTAACATGCTGCTGTTTATCATGTTGGCCATGCTAACATTTACTAATTAGCACTAGACACAAAGTACAGCTGAGGCTGATGGGAATGTCATTACTGCAGCTTTGTGGCCATAAGCCAGTTCCATTCTCTTCTAATCATGAACACAGAGGCTAGAAAGCATTTTATTCTTTTTTCATGGTCTGAGGGT